CAACCACACATGTCTCATGATACTTAAAACTACATATGCAGTCTTTTAACGTTCAACCACACATGACTCATGATACTCAAGACTACATACAGAAAGTGTTTTAACGTTCAACCACACACATGTCTCATGATACTCAAGACTACATACAGAAAGTGTTTTAACATTCAACCACACATGTCTCATGATACTCAAGACTACATACAGAAAGTGTTTTAACATTCAACCAAACATGTCTTATGATACTTAAAACTACATATGTAGTCTCCTAACATTCAACCACACATGTCTCATGATACTTAAAACTACATATGTAGTCTCCTAACATTCAACCACACATGTCTCATGATACTCAAGACTACATATAGAAAGTGTTTTAACGTTCAACCAAACATGCCTTTTAACGTTTGGGATTATACGGAATGTTTTAAAGTTCTGTCGAACATGCCACATGACATTTGGGATTACGTATATAAATTCTTTAAAGTATAACCTACTTTCAAAACAACTTGTGTCAGACTTCAGAAAATTATGCACCATTACAATATAATCCATTGGAGTTTAATCAAACATACGCAACCGTATTGCTAAGGTAGAGAACTAAGGTTAACAGAAAACCAATCATCATCACACTTGGACTCAAGAAATCAATAAATTCAATACACATACATCATAACACGTGCAGAAAACGTTAAAAGGGCAGGGCCTCGTGAGAAAAACGGTCACTTTCGAGCATCGCAAGACAAACTTTATTTTAGAGTGTGTGTGTGGAATGGTAGCAAGTAAAAAGTAAACACATGTCCTGCCTTACTCCTATTATTTAAGTTGGTCTTATAAACATTTTGATATATAAAACTTTTAATAGTTGTGAACATACAATATCTTCATGCCAGAGAAAATGCCACTTCTGGGCATGAGGGCAGGGGATGAACCCTTAGCCCCTTTCCTCCTTTTCCACGTAAGTGATAACACGTGTAAACTAGAATTCACTGAAGCTCAATAAACATGCACCATAACAAATGCAAAGTAGAACGTACTGAAGTTAAATAAATGTAACCACCACCAGTGGCACGCAGTTTAGACCTCATAGGGCCCTTTAACCACTGTTGTTAAATGCTATGGGTACTCCCAAGTCCAAGGCTGGGAGTAAGGGTGCGTCTCAGAAGCCGTGGATTTATCCAATCAGTAATACAGATTGTTGTTCCTGTGACCACCACAAGAGTGTGCTGTTGTTTACCTCCTTATTTCTGTTTCTAGATGATGCTGTTAGAGTATCGGCTGTTGGAGCTTCCTCTGTATCATTTGGGACATGTTTATTTTCATTATATTTGATCGAGTCATTTCAATCCGTGTAGAATAACTTTTCCTCTGTCCAATGTCCGAATGAAGGACTAATGTTTGTACACAGTCCTGTTTATTTCTTTAGTCACAATTTCTTCTGTTGATCTTTTGTTTTGTTTAGACCGGTGTATATTATTATTTTTAGATAATTTGCACTTAGCAACCAAAAGTGTTATTTCTTGACGGACGTATCGTGTTGATGCTCTTTTAAAATATTTTTGCATTATTTCAAAATATTTTATTTTTCTATCCCACATAGCATATTATAGCTGACTCAAAACTTGTAACTGACATTTAAGGCTACTAACTTACCAGGCATTTCCCTAACCATAAGTACTAAGCATGACCTAATGGTTAACGTGTCGGGCTATCCTGAATTCACACTCCGTTGCTACAAAATCACGTTCCGCATTTTGGGGCCAGGGAAGCGTTATAGGAGTGACAATTAAATCCTACTATTTGGTTAGAGTGGCCCAATATTTGGCGGTGGGTGCTGTCGATTAGCTGTCTTTCCTCTAGTCTATCAGTTCAAATTTAAGAACGACTAGTACAAATAGCTCTTATATAGCTTTGCACAAATATTCGAAACAAATTCTACCAGTGATGATTAAGGCTTCGTGGCAGGAATGAAATGGTTTCGTCTTCTAGAAACACGAAGAATCCACAACTGATTTTTTCAAATGGCACGAGTTGCCTCCAGTAAGACAACAACAAATCAAGAGGCAACACTTTTATCTGGAGAAAAATATTACGTTTCCTGTTTCTGAACAACATAAAGCAAAAGAAAGTGGATGAACATTCTGCTTTTTTAATTTCTGTTAATTCTATGTGTTAACTTAGATAGTGTACTTGACCTTCGTTGGGAACAATTTTATAGTCTGTTAGAAGAATGTTCAACGGAGCAGGTTTGTTTTTATTACACGATAAAAACTGTTTTAGCTTTCTTTTGTGCTCTGCACAATTTTTAATGTATTTCATTTCTTCATACTCTATTCCAAATCTGATAAATTCAGCAACAACGTACTTTTCAAGCATTGCTTTCACTACATTATCCCCCTCCCTGTGGCTCAGCAGTACGTCTGAAGGCTTATATCGCTAAAATCGGGTTTCAATACTCGTGGTGGGCATATCTCAGATAGCGTACGATGTAGTTTTTTTCCCTTAATAACAAAGAAACACTTCACCATGATATTTTATGATACAGTAAATAAACCAACTAGCTAATTTTGTCAATAGTTTAATATTATATATCATTTGTAACTAGGCGCTTTAAATCTTGACTTGATGTACGAAGATTATCTTTTTAGGTCGGCCACTGTTTCTGGCAGGCCCGGATCGCTGGCACATCAGTTTTAAAAGTTCCGTACTAGATGGCTGATTATTAATCAGTCAGTGTTTATAGTGTAACGGTCTAAAATAAACACACCGCTACAATCAGGGTTCAAAAACAACAACAAAAAACAATTTATTCAATTATAACAACACTTACCAAAACACAGTAAATAAACACGTGCTTGGCCAGGACTTTACACTAATGTTAATGAACAATATATCATAAATATCAATATTTTTTCAAATAATGGAATAAGAAAAAACAACCAGAAAAAAAAGAAAGAACACAATTCCAAAAATAAAATAAAGCAAACCCCATATTCCAAGAATACTTTTCAACATTAATAACAATATCAAGTGATAAACAGCAAATATTCACTAACTGTGTCGTTTACTATCTCGTGACTCTCTCTCTTAGTGAAGCTTCTGGCAGCGTATTTATTCACTGAGTAGGTCACGAGAGTACACCTTATCTGATCAAAAATTTACATAATCTTCTGCTACATTAATGGTGTATGTACGTCACCGCAAGGGAAGCTGGTGTCAGTTTCATCATGAATAAATATTTACTCAAAACACAAATTATTAGCTAAAAGGTGATTTAGCGTTTTAATTCAACTAAACATTCGTAGATAACTAAACGATAGAAGGAAATAATAAATGAACGATAAACACAACCATAAAAAAAAGAAAGAATTTGCTATCTCACAATACATTTTAAGTTTTTGTTACCACTATCTGTATGGGGTTGTTTAAGGTAACAAATGATTTTATATTCATTTTCTTCAATTAATGCCGAAACTCTTAACTTCGATCATTTTTTTTTCTCGACAAATTCATCATTCAAACACAAAACAAGTATATTCAAACATACACATTTGTGTAACAGTGAATTCTCCTGTAATATTATAGCATTCATAATTTTGATTTCAAGAGTACCTCCATATCAAAGCCTGGCATGGTCTGGTGGTTAAGACACTCGACTCCCAATCTGAGGGTCGAGGGTTCTAATCCTTTTCGTTACCCAACGTGCTCACCCTTGGAGAAACCTCGTCCACTGTTGTGCTAGTTTGGTATTCCGAATCACGAACACGTTATCCACAGATATTTTATTATTTAGAGCCCTTCACGGGTTCGAATCCCTGTCACACCAAACATGCTCGCTCTTTCAGCCGTGGGGGCGTTATAATGTGACGGTCAATCCCACTATTCGTTGGTAAAAGAGTAGCCCAAGAGTTGGCGGTGGGTGGTGATGACTAGCTGCCTTCCCTCTAGTCTTACACTGATAAATTAGGAACGGCTAGCGCAGATAGCCCTTGTGTAGCTTTGCGCGAAATTCAAAACAAACAAACAAATTTAGAGCCCAAGTATGGTATAGTGGTTAGGGTATCGGGCTAGGGATCCGAGGGTTTGGGGTTCAAGCAGTAGAGTCAATCCCTTTATCCGGTGTAAAGTATCCGCTTTAAGTGGCGGTGCTAGATCCCTTCCTTATTGTTAATAGTTCAAACCTGAACCATAGCTAATAGCGGTGTCTGATTTAGCTATTTAGCCCATTGCCCATAGAAACAGCCCAGTGGAAATAGTATGCTATCTGCTACAACCACAAAAATAATCCTTTTCAGAACTTCCACCCCCTCGGTGGCTCAGCGGTAAGTCTGAGGGTTTATAACGATAAAAAATCGGGCTTCGATACTCGCGGAAGGCAAAGTACAGATAATCCATTGTGTAGTTTTATGTTAAACAGTAAAAAAACAAAGCAAAGGACTTCCCTGAAGACACCATCAGATTAACAGCCGAACGTAGAATAGAAACTAGTAATTAATGAAAAATAAAAACTAACTAATTAATAATTAGACTTCGGTTATGGTATAGAATACTAACCATGACAACCGATAATAATTAGACTTCGGTTATCGTATAGAATACTAACCATGACAACCGATAATAATTAGACTTCGGTTAACGTATAGAATACTAACCATGACAACCGATAATAATTAGACTTCGGTTATCGTATAGAATACTAACCATGACAACCGATCACCACAACTTTAATGTAAGCGTTCCAGTTCTGGACTGATGAAATCTTCAATTGTAGAATATCTGTTTAAAACAACAGTTTAACCTTTAATACATAACGGCAATTCTGAACATTCGTTTCGTAAAACTCTAATGTTCTCTCTTTTAAAGTAAGCTTCTTTAAATGATAACTTTCATCAGTTGCTTTCATCTGCATTATTTCTCAGTTGATAAAGCATATTGTAAGTTTTTTCC